ATAAGTGAAAGTACCATAAATCCAATACCTTAAACTTTTTGATTAAGATATGGTACCTAATAACTTAAATTTGTTGGGACATCGGTCCCTCAAATATTGTGGAAGCAAATCATAAATCGATGCTCGGACTTAAGACCTCGGCCTTTAGTCACCAGGCCATCTATATATCAAATTCAAATCCACAAACTTTTAATCATGCTATAAAGTTTCCATTTTTATTCCCCACCACCGCCAAAAAAAATGAGAAAAAAAAATGCAGAAGAAATGAAGCAAAACTGGGTCATTCAAGGTGAGAATTGAGACAACGAACCGATTGAGAATCATGGGTTGTAGCTTTTGGAAAGATAAAGCTTTGTGCTTTCTTTCTCTCTCTATTTCTAAACCCGTAGATGTATAAAGAGAACGTGTATTGGGAAAATATTTTCACTAAATATGTATTGAGCACTCGGTATATTTTTTATTAAAGGATAATGATCCGTTTACAATTTTTTTTTTTTATAAATTACACTAAGTATGATCTCGATCATGTACTCTTGATTGAAATAAGTCATACTTAATATAGTTTGTAAACAAAAAGTTTGTAAATATAACTTTGGGAAAAAAGTTTCCGATGTTATCTTAGATAACTTTATCTAATGTTCATCGAAACAACGTCATTTTGGGGTTGAAAAATTAAAAAATTAGAGTGATAGAGACTATTATAACCCTGAAATAAATTAAAATTACAAAAATACCATGATTTCCGTCCCAAAACGACGTCGTTTTGATGAACATTAGATAAATTTATCTAAAGTAACATGAGAAAAAACAAACCCTATAACTTTTCACTTTATTAAATATTAAAAAAATAATATTTATATTAATTCTACTTTTATGATTATGGTATTTACTTAGTATGTACCGAGCATTTGGTATATTTTTTACTAAATATAAAACTAAATATAAAAAAAAAAATTATATTATTTACCCCATAACTACCGAAAATATGCTTGTGTTTTGGGTGTCCCGGGCTTTGTTTCTGTGTCCAAAAATATCTTAAATTGAGTGGTAGAAGCACGTTGTTGGGTATAGAAACGGAGGGTACCCTTTTTAGAAAAATAATTATATCAATGTATGTGTTTCCTCTTCCATCAATCAAAAATCAAAATCTATTATGTTTGCATTCATAATATATTATTTGTCTTTCAACATCATAATATATTATGAGTGATGTTTATCTTATTTTATATAAGATAAATAATTTTTCTACACACACAAAAAAGAATTGGGTCTCATCACTCTTTTTTTCTCTCTCCTTTTTTTAATGGATCCCACTTGTAATTTTATTTTTATAACATGAGATAACGATTTCCCTACAACATAAAAAAATATTTCTCATATATTATTCAACATCATTTCTCTTCCATATATTAAGCCGCCCTGTCAAGAAAAATTCTTACGCTAATATAATTAAGGGGATGAATTTTCTTATGTTGCACTTGATAACACCATTTTCCAGCAGATACAAACGTATGCGGGTCCCATCATTTATCATTAAAGAAAATAAAAAATAAAAAACTCAAAAATCAATCTCTTTCTGCAGGAGTTACCGTTCACATTCCTGCGGATGGAAAATAATATTTCCGTATAATTAAACATGACACAACTTGAATATGCTCCGCATTTTAATTGTAAAATACTTTACAATAAAATCTATGTGGATGAGTGCATTGGTCATATTTGGTATGTATGAGTAGTATAAGAGACTTGATAAATTTTAATATTATGCCTGCATGTGACTTTGTGTAAGATATTATATTATATAGGATTATAATTATATAAATGGTGATACACTAAAAGTTAACATTATAAATATATTATTTACTGAAAAATTATTATATTTATTTAAATTTATTACGTTATAGTAATACGTATAATATTTTATTATAAAGTAAACTACTTATATGTATAACGTTAAATTTATTACGTTATATTTATACACATATATAAAGGTGGATCAAAATAGATTGAACCAATATTATAAGAATCGGATCAACTCGGTCGAGTCAACCTGAAAATCGGTGAACCGATCATATAATCGATCTGGTTTTTATATTTGATCGGCCATGTAATGGAACCGGTGCGACCCGGTCGGTTTTTGTAAAAATTGGTGACCCGATCCGGTTCATAAAAAAAATGGTTTATTCTCATCAATTGATGCTTTTCTTTTTTCACTCACACACACAAATGATTTGTTTTCTTTTGAAATATTTGAGTGATCTGTTGCTTATTCATTTACATAGGTTATGTACCTACAATAGTAATATATTATCTTGGTTACGTAATATGCAGAGAATTTTAATTTGAAGATGTCGTCTAATGAACCTAAAGCACCAGTATCACAAGTATTATATGTTTGATTGATCTTTTGTTGGACAATGATGTGTAATTTATTATTTTTCATATTAAAATATTTAAAATTGATATCATTTTTTTACTGGTTGAGTATATTTATAGTTTTTTTATATAAATTATAGATTTACATATACTTACTGAGTTATACGATTGAATCAGTAATCCAATACCTCAACCGGATCAATAACCATGCCCGATTAAATAACATTGGGCTGAACACATTACGAGACTGAGTTCATCTGCCGAGCTTTATTAATCAAATATGCAACAATGTTGAACAATTGGTTCTGAACTTAATTTTTCATTCCATGACTCATGATGATGGTATTATTTGGAAAGGAGTTTCAGGGCACATCTGGTTGATTTTTAACATTGTGAGAATTGTTTGATGAGGAGGATATTCTTACTATCAAAAATTTTCACTACTAACTTGTTACTTATCTAATCACCATTGAATCAAAGAGAGAGAATGCTAAAAAGTTTTTGAAAAGAGAGAAAATATTGATCCAATGATAATTAAATAAATAGTGAATTGGTAGTGAAAATTTTTGGTAGTAAGAATATCCCTCCTTTTATGAAGATCTATGTAGCACCGATACGACACGCGACACTTGACACGACACGACACGACACTCTGACACGTCAATCCTAAAAAATTATGGATTTCGACACGTTGAGACACATTTTAATATTAAATAATATTTTTAATTTATATAGTGTATATTTTATTTAATATTTAATAATTTAACAAAAAAATGAAACTAAATTAATAATACCCATCAACACGTTATAAAGATGGAAGCTTTAATAAAAAAAATAAGAACTGGGATGAGAGAGATATAATATCAGATATAGAAATCAAATCATATTAGAGAGATCAGAGAGAAGAAGATACAACAAGAGCGTGATAGGAATTGACAACAATGATACTGAGATGATCTCTTATCTACTTAAGGGGAAAAAAGACAAAATGATAAAATTGATATGATCAGGTGGAAGCTTTATTAATATATTTTAACTTTTAAAAAAATAAATTTTTAAAAAAATAAAATAAAAAAAATTACGAAAATGCCATTTGACCGTGTCAGACACGGTCAAATTCGCGTGTTGGAATGGTCAACGTGTCAGAAAAAGTCAACCACGTGTCCGACACCGTGTCGGAGCGTGTCGCCGTGTCGGAGCGTGTCGGACCCGACTCTTCCTGTTTTTACAAGTGTCCGTGCCTCCTTGATGAAGATACATTCTCAAGAAATTTGTATTCTTATATTTGATTTGAAGATAATTTTCTTATGAATGTATGATAATATTTATTAAGAGATGAAGCAAGTCCAATTTAAGGTAGGTGGAGTGGCTAGGTTGTGTAAAAGGAAAGCACAATGTTTCAAGACACACATGTTCATGGTTTAATCAAATCTAGGCGAGTTGATCCACCAACTCACCTTAAAAATTTTAATCAACCTATTCTACAGGCTATAATCAAGACTTTATTTCATCTATGAGAACTTTTCTGTGCATTGGATGTACTAACATCCTTTTCAAAAAAAGGAAAAAAAAAGTGAACAGTCAAAGGAAAATAGGAAAAAACATTTGGATTGAATTGAAATAAAAATTTCTTTTATATAGAAAGAAGATGCACCGTGGAGAATTTTTAAAGTGAACCGAAAACACTTGCATTCGGTGCTCCATTTTCCCAAAACAGGAATATTTTTATGACATTTCCATCTATATTATTTTATTTATTTACTTTCATGTGCTGATATTTTTATTTTTAATTTTGGGAAAGGTGAAAGTGCACCCGAAGCACCAAAAATACCCTCCAAGGGGAGTATAAAAAAAGAGAAATCCCCCATCTGGACCAACCGTTACTTTGGAGCACGGGCTAGCCTAGTAAAATCACCACTAATGGAGAAGCACGGAGGATATGTACATTCATAAATGATTTTAACAATTTTAGGATGAATATGAAGAAGATATAGATAACTACTCAATAATTATATTCATGCTTTGTTATGTGTGGACAAATTAAATGATTTTAGTACCAACCATCTCACACCCCGGCTGAGTCAAAACAACCTAGAACCTAGAATTACTTGGCATAAAAAAGGTATTAGACAAACCTACAAATACCTGAGTCAAAACAATTTACATTGAAAGAAACATGCAGAAAGAAAATCACATCAGATGAAAGGCCAAAATTTAAATTCCACTTTGCTGTATTCATTGAAGATCCTCTACAATAAAATGTTGCTATAATTCCTGATGCTGTTGTTGTAACTTTTCAAAGTAACTTTTGTGATCAAAACCAGGTGAAAATAACAAATAAAATGAGCAATTAAAAGTGCCTGTGCCTATCAATGTGAACAGACAAATGTTATGTCTCAAAATTGGAAAAAGCAACTCTAACTCATGTGATGTCAGAAATTCATAGTTAGCTGCATCCATCACCAAAAGACATCATTTCTCATCTCTCTGGAATTGAGCCACACCAAACCCATCATCTTTTAAGTCCAAATCTTTTTTACTCATCAAAAGAAATGATGATTCTGATATTCTAAGCAAGGAGAGAAAGATCCATTCTCAATGAAGCTCATGATTTGGACTTACATTCACTTTCTATCTTCCCTCTGTCTCTGGCTTTTGGGGGGCAATAAGGTGGAGCTACGTGATTTATGTCCAAAAACCTTCCTCGATGGTCCAAATTCCGATCCATCATCATCACTGTCAATGTCATTTAGAGTATGCCTATTCTGGTATCCTCTGCGCTGCAAAATAAAGACATTGAAGTAGTAGCTAACTAAATCTTCCCTGCTCTTCATGGGAAATGCTTTAAAAATATGATCCCAGAAACATCTTTCAAGTGAAGGAGGGTTTGATTTCACCACATCTTTGAACTTCTTCTCTTCTTCCCGTGTCCACAAACGCCTAACTTCTTCACCTACCTTATGTAAATTCCACTTGTAAAAAGCCTCACCCAATTCCAACTTCAGTTTAGTCCTTTTATGAACAATGTGGAACCGCACACACTCAACAGAACCTTGTACTTGGCAGCCACATGAATCTCCTCTTCCCTTTCCAATGGGTTGCCGTTGCCTTTCAAAAAAACGTTTGGAATTTACATTTTCTGTTGGCCATATTTGTGTCCCCAACCACTTAGAATCACTCTCATAAGTCATGCCAGTCCATTGTGGCACTTCAGCTTGGTGGGCTGGCCCCAAAGGGATAGGCACTTTGGCACTTCTATCAAGACTTGAGCGTGCAGTACATGAATCAAGTGACTTTTTCACAGCACTAACTTCAGTATGAGGACTTTGGATTCTCTCCAAACCTCTCTGTGTTCCTGAAGAGACTCCATTAGTTGAAGATTTTCCAACTAAATGCCTCTTGTCACGTTTCAACCTCTTTCTAAGATTGTAGGTTAGGCCTTGGTGACCATCATCATACAAGGAAGGATGCATCTTCTGACCCTACAAAATGGCAAAATATTTTCCATTTTTGGTTCAATGAAAAACAAGTGGCAACATTTGGACGAATACTCAAGGAATCTCAAGTAGTAGCTAGAGCTGCCACTTGCAGAATTTTACAAACTCGATTTCCATTTTATATATTTCACAAGAGAAACATGCCTCAAAGTAAATATAAATCATCACATATGAAACGGGAAAAAAATAATAATTACATCCGGACAAAATTTTATTCCACCATAATTAAAGAAAGCATAAAATAGTTCTTTAACAACCAAAACAAAAACAAAAACAAAATCAACAAAGAGAAGAAAATTAAAATGGGAGAATTTTTTACTCCGATGTAAGATTAAGAAGTTTTATTCATTATCTCAACGGTTGATTTCCGTCCACTCGACGATTGTAGTTTATTAACAATATGAATATTTTCATTTAAAACTAGAAAACAACAGGTAAGATAATCAAGTAACTAAGGTAGTGTTTGGTTCGGGAAAAATTTTTTTTTACTAGGGAAATGTAATTGATAGGGAAATGGTTGGAAAGTGAGTTTGGTAGGAAAATGTAAAAAAAGCTGTTTGGTTGACCCAAATATTACCAGGGAAATTTATTTAAATATGCAAAATCTATGTTCGGGAGAAACTTTGCACCTGTTTTTTCACTTCCTCAGTTATCTCAAAATACCACATCTCAAGTGGTATTCTGTAACAGTGAATTTCATCCAAAAATCAACACAAAAGTCATTTTCACATCTATCCTATTTGCCTGGTATTTTTTGAAAAAACCTGAACCAAACGTGGTATTTTCCAATATCCACTTACACTTTCCCATCAATCCTAAAATAAACTTTCAACCAAACATTACCTAAGGGAGCATTCGGTAGAAGAGAATTTTTTTTATTCCTGGGAATCACAATTACCAGGAATGTTATGGGAAAGTGGTTTCCCGAGAATGTGATCAAAAAGTTGTTTGGTAGGCCAAAATATTACCAGAAATGTTGGCTCAAGTTTCTTGATTCTATGTTTGGTTGATTGTCAAAAATTATTAGGAATATAGGGTAATATTAAAAACTGCATTGTTGGCGACTAGCGTCGTTACCACGCTGTTGGCACGAGAAGAAAATATTGCTTGAAGACTTGGCGCTAGTGGTGCAGGAAGAAAATATTGCTTGGCGTTAGGGGCGTGGAGGACAAAGTATTTTCCCACCTCTCGGGAATCCAAGAATACACCCCCTTGCGAGTATTCTTGGATGACATTTTGCCTTAAAAAGTGTTAACAAATCAAAATCCTGGGAAAATCAAAATTCTAGAAAAAATTTCAGAATCCTTGTACCAAACGTGAGTAAATAGGATTCCTAATGGCACTTTCCTAGTAATCTAAAAAAATCCTTGTATCAAAAGTTCCCTAGGGGGCGTTTGGTTTCATGCATTTTGAGATTTTCCTAGGTAAATGAAGTTTGGTTTTTAGAAAACCAATGTTTGGTTCAACAGCTTTTGACCAAAACCTATCTATGTGAAATGCATGGCTTTTTGAGAAAGATAGTAATTTGCACTGTTTAGAAACCCGATTTGGGGGTGGTTTTTTGAGAAAACCCGGGTAAAGCACTGTTGACACACTTTTTGTCATATATTTCCCTGGTAAAATTTTGTCAAACCAAACTACTTTTTTTTAGCTTCCTCATCTATTCAACTTTCCCTATGGATACCTAGTAATTACATTTCTTTAGTATTCTTAAAATTTATCATCAACCAAACGCCCCTAAGGGGCATTTGGTAGAAGAGAAATTTTTTTTACCAGGAAAATATAATTACTAGGAATATGTGTTAAAGTGAGTTTGATAGGAAAGTTAAAAAAAAATTGTTTGGTAGGCCGAAATATTACCAGAAAAATTTGGTTAAGTTTACTGAGTCTATGTTTGGCTTGAAAGTAAAATATTGATGAAAAAATGAGTTAAAAATATGAAAATAACCCTCTTATAATTTTTGAATATGAAATACACACTCACTTTACCCGATGGGAGGGTCATTTTGGTCCATGATTTGGCGCTCATTTTGCAGTAAAATAAAACTAGATCCACGTCCAAAAACACAATCTGGCTCTGATACCAATTGTAAGAGCAATTGCATCTGCAGAAGCATATGAGACCATTGTGATTTGGATGTATAAGAATAATCATGGTTTTATCAATTACCTCTTGGATGGCGCAGATGTGAGATGATGATGCTCCTCACGCTTGAGTCCTTTGCGTCATAGCACGAACTTATGAACTATTGTGGTAAACCTTCCAAACTATCTCTTGAGGAAGAAGGGGAAGTGTGTGGGCACTAATCAGATCCGAGCTTGTCTCTTTCTCACAAATGACCTGGGAGGCTGATGAATTAAGTGGTACTATTTATATGGGTTCCAAGAAATCCTAGCTCATTGGGCTTTTAAGTTTCTTGGGCTCTTCTCGTACTAATAGCCTAATTGAACTTTAGTAAAAGATCACAAATCCAACAAGAATTGAGACAAGGAACCGATTGAGAATCATGGGTTGTAGCTTCTATATATATCTTATATTATAAAGGAATTCCATTCTGTGGAAACCTTGCTGACGTGTCGCACTGTGGTTCAATTTCACCAATGTGTTCACACTACAACATTTAAAAAAGTTTCCTTTAATGGTAAATCAGTGAATATAATAAATACAAAAAAGAATTATATTTTCAATTGACAGAATTTGTTACTTTAAATCAATGGTCAAGATTGCTTATTCATTGATTTATAACTACTAAATCACTCTTTGTCGTCATCTTTGTTTTTTAAATAATTGATGTTGATCATGTAATCTAATCGTTTTTTTTAACCTTTATTCAGTTTAATTCAAATCTTTACGTTTTAAAAAAAAAAAGGATATTCATTGTTATTAAAACAAATGACTGTTTTATTCCATGAAATGATTGTTAAAAAACGGGATATTCATTGATTTATAACAACTTAATCACTCTTTGTCGTTATCTTTGTTTTTTAAATCTTTATTCAGTTTAATTCAAAAACTTCATATTTTTTAAAGAATACAATTCTATTTACTCGAAAAAAAAATAATTATACATATCCCGACCTTTGTTCCTTATTTTCAGATTTTTAAATTTGAATCTTTTATTAACCTCTTGATTCAGTGGAATCAGGTATGAGTGTTTTGTTATTAGAAAAAACTTCTGTTTTATTGCATGAAAATCTCATTTATAACTACTAAATCACTCTTTTGTCGTCATCTTTATTTTTTAAATAATTGATGTTGATCATGTAATCTAATCGTTTTTTTAACCTTTATTCAGTTTAATTCAAATCTTTACGTTTTTTGAAAAAAATGGGATATTCATTGTTATTAAAACAAATGACTGTTTTATTCCATGAAAATCTCATTTATAACTACTGAATCACTCTTTTGTCGTCATCATTGTATTTTAAATAATTGATGTTGATCATGTAATCTAATCGTTTTTTTAACACTTATTCAGTTTAATTCAAATCTTTACTTTTTTTGAAAAAAAAAACAGGATATTCATTGTTATTAAAACAAATGACTGTTTTATTCCATGAAATGACTGTTAAAAAATGGGATATTCATTGATTTATAACTACTAAATCACTCTTTGTCGTTATCTTTGTTTTTTTAATCTTTATTCAGTTTAATTCAAAAACTTCACATTTTTTAAAGAATACAATTCTATTTACTTGAAAAAAAATTAATTAGTAAAAAAAAAAATTATACATATCCCAACCTTTGTTCCTTATTTTCAGATTTTTAAATTTGAATCTTTTATTAACCTCTTGATTCAGTGGAATCAGGTATGAGTGTTTTGTTATTAGAAAAAACTTCTGTTTTATTCCATGAAAATCTCATTTATAACTACTGAATCACTCTTTTGTCGTCATCTTTGTTTTTTAAATAATTGATGGTTATCATCTAATCTAATCGTTTTTTTAACCTTTATTGAGTTTAATTCAAATCTTTACGTTTTTTGAAAAAAATGGGATATTCATTGTTATTAAAACAAATGGCTGTTTTATTCCATGAAAATCTCATTTATAACTACTGAATCACTCTTTTGTCGTTATCTTTGTTTTTTAAATCTTTATTAAGTTTAATTCAAAAACTTCACATTTTTTAAAGAAGACAATTCAAAAACTATAAATCACTCTCATTTATACAATTCCTGATACGCATTATTCTTCAACGTCGGTGATTGCTTCTCTGTTTTTTCTTCTTACACAAAATATGAGTTCAAAATATGATTTTCTGAAGGATGTTAATCCTGCCAAGGAGGACTGGAGGATTAAGGTGAAGGTGGTTCGGACTTGGAAAGTTCCTAACTTTCAGCGTAAAAATTTGGAGGACAATCTTGAAATGGTTTTATTGGGTGAACAGGTTGTGTTCTGTGTTTTAAAAATCTTCTATCTTTGTTTTGATCATTTTAGTTAACGTTGTTGACATAAGTTGGCTCCATTCTTTTGTAGGGTGGTAGGATCCACGCCACTGTCAAAGATACCTTGCAGGTGCGGAATAAAATCAACGAAGGAGAGTGCTATTGTATAAAAAAATTTGGAGTTGGATTCAATAGCGAAGTGTTTAGGCCAACCAAGCATCAGTATCGTTTGTCTTTCAACTTGAGGACTGATGTTAAATCGATTGTTGTTTCTGATATTTGTGCGAGTGATTTTGATTTTGTTGATTATAACATCATTGAGAAAGAAACGTCTGACTCCCCTTATTTAGTCGGTAATAGATTCTTCCTCACTGTTATCCTTTTTTTAATTATTGCGGGTTTTATTTTTTTCCCTTACTCTTTGCTGCCTTTTTTTAATTTTTAAACGTCATTGGTTTATTCTGTATCATGACTATTTCCTTATTTTTAAACTCTTTGCGGTTATAGTTTTGTGTTTTTAATGTTTTGTCACGAGTAATCTTATTCTGTATCATTATTTTTTTCATTAACTGTGTTTTTTACGTTTCTGTATTCGTTTTTTATTATTGCATAATTTTTTTCACAAACTCTTTGCTGCGCTTTTTTTTGTAGACGTCATTGGTTTAATCTCAAGAATTGGGAAAGTTTGTGATCGTGTAGTTTCTGGTAAGAAGAAAAAAATGGTGGTGTTGGAGCTTGACGACCTGAGGTACTTACAAATGTTTAGTTAAATGAATTATTTTTGTCCAGCTCTGTTAGCTTATATTTTACGCGTATTAACGTTGTGCTTGCTGCAACTCACGTGTAGGGGTCATAAGTTGGAGTGCACTTTGTGGGAGCATTATGTGGATGAGGTCCAATCTTTTTTGGCAGACAACGACGATCCTCATAACGTCCTGATAGTCCAACTGGGAAGGATTAAGTGTTTTAGAGGTATGTTTTTTTCCAAACAACGTTGTTTTAATTTTTGCTTTTATAATCAGTTTTTATGCACGTTATTTTAATTAATTTTGCTTCTGTATTCAATGTTTATCTGAACCTTTTAACTCAATAGGTAAGGTCGGGATAACAAATACAAAATATACAACAAGGATTGTAATGGATTCAAAACTGAATGAGATTGTTGAGTTCAAAAAACGGTGTGTACCTTCTTTCTTCAGCTCATTTATTCGGTTATTGATTAATGGATTTTCATATTTTTTTGATTTTTTAATTATTAATTTTTGCGTTATAGTCTCTCGATTGATGGTGTGGAAAGTAGTACAAGGATGACTCGATTGTCTACTCAGTCATCCTATTCTTTCAAAAATGATTTTCTTAAGGAGACTGAAAAAAGTCTATCAGTGATGTGAAACTTTGTGTTGAGGTAAATGTTCAAATTTTATTTTTACTTTTCTTTAATTTTTACTTTCCTTTAATTCTGTCAATTTTGTATTGATGATATTTTATGTTAAACTGCGATTGCTTTAATTAAGGTAACTACCTGCATCACATACGGGACTATAAAGGCAATTGAGAGCAAATACAACTGGTGGTACAAGTCATGCAAAAAGTGTCCATTTTTACGCGAAGTGAAAACAATGATAATTTATTTTTTCTTTATTTTTTTAAATAGATTTGATGCAGAGGCAGATGAGAGTACGCTGTAGATTGGGCTGCTGTGACTGAAGAGTGTTATTTTGCGTCTTGGGACATGATGTTTATTTGACAAACTCTTGCATAGACATTTTTTTTGTTGGAGTTACATCTTTAAGTGTTTGCATCTTTTTTAACTTACGTTTATTAAATGTCCAAGTTTGTGATGTTTTGCTATGTTGAGTACAACAAAAACAAAATGTTACGTGGTGTTTATTAATGTATTCGTTTGCGCTTTTCTTTTTAAGAAAAAAAATAATTCATTGTTTGTGTAAGGGATATAATTCACTCTTTTATTTTTATTAACGTTAATAACTGGAATTCAAGTATTTCTTTTGTTTTCCAAACAAACATAATTTCCGTACTCATCTTAACATCACAAGCTACAAATTTTAACTTTAATTATATTAACCTTATTAACTCCAATTTCCTTTGTTTACATCTCTGTTTATTTTTTAACTGAACCGGATGTAAGTAGGTTCTAATCGTTTTGTTTTTTTAATCTTTAATCAGTTTAATTCAAAAACTTTACATATTTTAAAGAATACAATTCTATTTGCTCGAAAAAAAATTAATTAGTAAAAAAAAATTATACATATCCCGACCTTTGTTCCTTATTTTCAAATTTTTAAATTTGAATCTTTTATTAACCTCTTGATTCAGTTGAATCAGGTATGAGTGTTTTGTTATTAGAAAAAATGACTGTTTTATTCGATGAAAATCTCATTTATAACTACTGAATCACTCTTTGTCGTCATCTTTGTTTTTTAAATCTTTATTCAATTTAATTCAAAAACTTTACATTTTTTTAAAGAAGTAAATTCTATTTACTCGAAAAAAAATAATAATTAGTAAAAAAAAACACTCATACATATCCCGACCTTTGTTCCTTATTTTTAGTTTTTTAATTTTGAATCTTTTATTAACCTCTTGATTCAGTGGAATGAGGTATGAGTGTTTTGTTATTAAAACAAATGACTGTTTTATTCCATGAATATCTCATTTATAACTACTAAATCACTCTTTTGTCGTCATCTTTGTTTTTTAAATCAATGGTCAAGATTGCTTATTCGTTTGTGTTTATTAATGTATTCGTTTGTTCTTTTTAAGTAGGTTCTAATCGTTTTGTTTTTTAATCTTTAATCAGTTTAATTCAAAAACTTTACATTTTTCAAAGAATACAATTCTATTTACTCGAAAAAAAATTTAATTAGTAAAAAAAAAACACTCATACATATCCCGACCTTTGTTCCTTATTTTCAGATTTTTAAATTTGAATCTTTTATTAACCTCTTGATTCAGTGGAATCAGGTATGAGTGTTTTGTTATTAGAAAAAATTTCTGTTTTATTCCATAAAAATCTCATTTATAACTACTAAATCACTCATTTGTCGTCATCTTTGTTTTTTAAATAATTGATGTTAATCATGTAATCTAATCGTTTTTTTAACCTTTATTCAGTTTAATTCAAATCTCTACGTTTTTTGAAAAAAAAAACGGGATATTCATTGTTATTAAAACAAATGACTATTTTATTCCATGAAATGACTATTAAAAAACCGGGATATTCATTCATTTATAACTACTAAATCACTCTTTGTCGTTATCTTTGTTTTTTAAATCTTTATTTAGTTTAATTCAAAAACTTCACATTTTTTAAAGAATACAATTCTATTTACTCGAAAAAAATTAATTAGCAAAAAATAATAATAATTATACATATCCCGACCTTTGTTCCTTAATTTCAGATTTTTAAATTTGAATCTTTTATTAACCTCTTGATTCAGTGGAATCAGGTATGAGTGTTTTATTCTATGAAAATCTCATTTATAACTACTAAATCACTCTTTTGTCGTCATCTTTGTTTTTATAATAATTGATGTTGATCATGTAATCTAATCATTTTTTTAACCTTTATTCAGTTTAATTCAAATCTTTATGTTTTTTGAAAAAAAAACGGGATATTCATTGTTATTAAAACAAATGACTGTTTTATTCCATGAAATGACTGTTAAAAAAACCGGATATTCATTGATTTATAACTACTAAATCACTCTTTGTCGTTATCTTTGTTTTTTAAATCTTTAATCAGTTTAATTGAAAAACTTTACATTTTTTACAGAATATAATTCTATTTACTCGAAAAAAAAATTAATTAGTAAAAAAAAAACACTCATACATATCCCGACCTTTGTTCCTTATTTTCGGATTTTTAAATTTGAATCTTTTATTAACCTCTTGATTCAGTGGAATCAGGTATGAGTATTTTGTTATTAGAAAAAATTTCTGTTTTATTCCATGAAAATCTCATTTATAACTATTAAATCACTCTTTTGTCGTCATCTTTGTTTTTTAAATAATTGATGTTGATCATGTAATCTAATCATTTTTTTTAAACCTTTATTCTGTTTAATTCAAATCTTTACGTTTTTTGAAAAAAAAAGGGATATTCATTGTTATTAAAACAAATGACTGTTTTATTCC